CTGCTCATCTCACTACATTTTTTTCTGTATGGGAAGCATAGTATTTTTTTTTCAAAAAAGATATTTTTGTTACAATGTTTAATCTTATGAAATGAAATAATTTTATTGTTCTCAGTTTCACTATTTAATGATGTACCTCTTAATAGTTAATATCTAGTAATGTACATATCAATAATACATCAATCAATATAGCTTATAAACAAAAGCTCTTTGGGGATCCTTGACAACTTTTTAAGTGGATAAAATTGTCCTGAGACCAAAGGGCTTGAGAATGGCAGTTTTAGAGATAATTTCTCTGAGCCTTAGAAGAGGACAGAGGTGTCCTTATTAAAGTTCAGGAGGGACAGGTCTAGATAGATACCAGTTATGCACATGTCAGCAATGATCCCAACTCATGTGTCTTCTTCATGGCTACCTGGGAGTTACATTGGTAGATTAGCTTATTTGATAACTCACAGAAAAGTGTTCAAAGCTATTGGTATCCCTCCCATTTTCTGAAGGGGAAAATGAGGATTAGAGAAGTGATTTTTTGGAATTACAGAAAAGTGTAGAGGACCCAGAACAATTTGGTACTTACTTGTGACTTCCAGTACACATGAGTTTGTGTCATGTTGCTCACTGCATTGGTCTTGGGTGAAGCATCATTCATCTTGGTAGAACACAGAAGAATGCAGGATATCCCTGTTTCCTTAGGAAAAACAAATGGTGTCAGACCAGTTTAATTTGCTTTACCACAAATAAGCAATAGGTATTTTTAATTCCCTGATGTCAATAATTGAAATTCACTAACCAGGTAGAAAACATGTCATAGTAAAATGGGCTGAAATACTATCTGGGGGAAACAGTCAGGAGGCCCTGAATGATGGCTGGTAGGCTGCACCATGGCTGCCAGGTATGCAGAGCCTATGCCACCGAGGTTTGTATAATTACTCTGATGATCAACTACAACAAATCGCTTAATGACACCTTTCTCATAAGGTATCCCTGTTGGTAAGCAACCCTTAATGGTGTAAGGTAACAACCCCCCCCCCATTTTTACAAACATAGAATTAGGACCTGCTAGCAGGATACAAAGGAAAGATATATTAATAATACCTACTGATTATTTGCGATAGAGCATATTAAACTGATCTGACACCATTTGTTTTTCCCAAGGAAATAGGTTTGCATATAAAGGTCCCTAAATGTCTGTAAAGTGAGTACTTGCTGGTGATGTTAGTGTCTGTGTGAGAAAGGCTAAGTGATAATGCTGTGAAGCTTTGGAAGCTGCATGGCCTATGCAGTTAGCAAGGAAGCAACTTCTTTCAGAGAACAGCACTCAGTTCTGTTATTGGTGCTGTAAATGGAGAGAAAAGTGGGGATTTTTGAAGAGTGGCTGTAGAGTGTTTAGCACATAGGATTCTAGAGGGGGAGTGAGGAGGAAAGAACATTGAACCACCATTTGTCACTGAGTTAAGAGTTGGGGGGTTGGTAGTTAGTTGTAGCACTAACTTGCTTTAATCTCATTATTATGTGTTGGCTGATCTTTTGGTAAATTAGTTCTGCTGCATACTACTTTAGGTCTGACAGGTATTAATTTTCAGAATGAATATGGTATTATATAATACGTACCCAAAAATCAAAAGTGAAGTGACCCGGTCTCTAAAAGGGCCAGTCTGTCTGTCTGGAGTATAGAAACATAAAAGTAGAGTATTTTCTAAGAAGAGAATAAGTGACATGATGTGTTTATTGATATAAACTATGATTAAACTGTAATTAATGTTAAATTTTTAGAGAAAGTACTATATATTTGGCAGACTAACTAAAAAGGTTGTCAATTATGGAATAGTTATTTCTTCCCTGCTCTTCATCTTCTAATATTAAGAAAAAGAAAATGTATTCTTGCAACACCAGTAATTAAAAACAAACAAACAAACAAACAAAAATCCTCCTTTCCACAACAAACCTATTCAAATTTTGAACCTTAATAATATCAAAATATTGAATTAACTCATCAGCGTTAAGTTTTGTGATTTTGAAATCCAGGCTTGATATACATGTTGTATCTCTTTAACAAGGCTGTTGCTCAGTGCCTTTGCATTTTTCTGCACGTGCTGTCTTAATGGAAATTTACTGGACATTCTTGCCAGAATAAACACATTCCTTCAGGAGTAAAAGACTTAATGTACTTTTCGTTCAACTGCACCTCTTTCCGGTGAGCAGATAAACCAAATTATTTGGCATTAGTCATACTTCACACATTCCACATGACTTATTGTGGTCTCCATGGGGCTAAGGATTGTAGGAGATAGGACTAAAGTAGACAGTCTTACATTCTATTGAGGACTAGACCAAATGCAAGGCAGGGCATCTATATATTTGACATGCAACAAACCAAAAATGAATCTGGGAGATACATTTAGGATCTTGGTAAAGCAGGATTAAGTCCTATGGCCCATGGTTATGTTGTGTATGAGTGTATATATAGATAAATGGATAGATGATAGATAGATCCTTCCATTATTTATTTATTTATTTGTGCATACAGAACTGGGGTACAGGCCAGAGGCTCGGGGGTGGCGAGAGGCTTCACCAGAGACAGAGTGGGGAGCAGAACAGGCAGATTGACGAAGTACACTGCTGAGGGGAGCAGCGGGAGGGTCAGGAGAGGTCTGCCACGCCATGTGGTCACCTCCGGGGCAGGCGGGAATCGAACTCATGCAGGAGTGGCTTTAGCTTCTCAGTGCTGTGCTTTAACCCTTTGTGCCACCAGGGAGGGCCAGATTTTTCCATTTTTAAGAGAGAACTAAAACTAAAGTCACATTTTATGAAGGGGAGTATAAATTCTCCAGTGAAAATTTTGACTGTATGGAGCCATTGGGGCAAGGGAAGGGGACCAGAATGGAGTGGGGATATTGGAATATAGACCAGAAGCTTGAATTAAGGAAGGAGGAAGTAACCCATGACTTAAGGGATAGGATAGGCAAATAATGGACTGTGGAGACTAGAAGTAAGAGATTTATACAAACAGGTCTAGACTTCTTCCTGTTGGTCCTGGTCTGAACACATGCCCCTCAGCACCCCAGGATACTAATGGAGAGAGATTACAGTAAAGAGAATAATTGTCCATTTATTCATGTCACTAGCATTAACAAAGAAATCAATCAAGGTAAGACATGAAGCTGTCTTATCAGGGTATTATAGTTATTGCACTTATTTTTAGCAATAGCCAATTAAATTCTTAAAGTTTGTCTTAGGAACTACTTGGGATTAAACTGTTGGATAGTTTTGATCAGTTTTGTAACATCCCACTCCCACCAGATATAGTCTGTTAATTTAAATAATTATGGGGAAAGTTCATTAATATGTGAAAATGTTCACATACTACTAAATAATATTTTTGTGTTACTCTGTTTTTTACATGCTCAGTTAAGAAATTCAATTTCAGAAAGTATTCTTGGGAGAACCTCTTGGGAGATGAAGGAACAATTTGATTAAAATAGCAAACACGGGCCCTCCCTGGTGGCGCAGCGGGTTAAAGCACTGCACTAAGAAACTAAAGCCACTTCCGCATGAGTTGGATTCCCGCCTGCCCTGGAGGCGACC